CATTACAGAAAGAACACCCAAAGTCCATTCAGAAGATTTTGTCATCTGCCCAGATTTAGATTACGGTGGGATCCAAAGTTCAGTGAAACTTGAAGTGAGCGACGATACCAATGTCATATACCACCACCTGAAGGAAAACTACCTTAGAAAGTGATACTATGTATGGATTTAAGCAAAGAATTGGAAACGGCTTTAGCAGTTACTTTTTCGGCCTATTGGAATCAAACTCGCATTTAGGACGTTAGACTTACACGAAAGCCTGCTGTTTATGTGATTCAAGAAAAATGTGCTATAGTTTCATCAGTAAAATTATAGAAGCGCGGGGTAAACTGTACAAATAAAACAGCCAATGCACTTGGTGTTGGACGGGTTTAACCAAGAAAATCTCCCTTAAGTGTCAGTCATATGCAGGAATTCGGTTGGATGTCCGCCGCACAGCTCAGTGGGAAATATGTAATAAGCAAAAGAGAGGTGAATATGAGAGTCCTCAGTTCTTAACGAAAAGAATAAAGTGTTGATCGCCAGAATTGTCAGTGTATTCGTCTGAACTAACGAACAAACTAACTAACTAACACCAAATGCGATGAAAAGTTCAGTAGCAAATGGACGGCTCTTGTTTCATCTCCCAGGGCGTTTCGTTTGCTGATAACGGAGTTGTGCTAAGGTAGTAGATGAGAAATTCGGTTTGTGCGGTTGCTATCAGAGATCCGGGCCCCGGATGACTCTCGGCGTCTCCAACGATCAGTCCGCGTCATCATGTACTTGTCTTGCTCCTAACGCAGTCCTGAAAGGATGCAGGGCGGTAAACTGGTGGTAGTAGCCTTTCTGTCTGCATGTTGGCCTGCTGTTGTTGCCGGTCCCAGTGTGTACACGTGTTCGCGCTGATGCTAACGCGTATGCGTGAACTACATATATTTGGTGGTAAAATCGAACTTATGACCTATCTCCAGGCTGTGGACAGTGACTTGGAACAGTGGTTTGCATCCATGAACCATCATTTTTTTCTCGAATAGTCGGAAACTTAGTCTTCTTGCTCTCTGGGCTGATTAATTTCTAGGGAAATTTAGGCAGGGGTCTCATAAATGATACCAGAAGGATAAGAGCGACCGCCTAGCACTGAAGTCGGCAGCACTCAGTGAAAGCAAATTCTTTCGTTTCAGTTCGATGACACTGCTGAGTCGACTAAAACCTATGACATGCAAATGATGGTCATAAAATAATGAAAGAGAATAGAATTGCCGACAAAGACAAGGGAGACTGGAATGGCCATTTCTGGCTATTCTGCCTATATCATGCACAGCTGTGCGACTGTTGATTGGGCTCGAGAGAGAGCTCTAGGACACAACAGGACGAGTGTGTTCCGTAGAACGATCGGTGAGCGTCCCTATATCATAATAAGGCAACAATTTACAATATAGCATATTATACAAGTCGGAGGTCAGTAAGCTGCACAACGATATAAACGTGAAGTTTTCCTGAGAATAACTACTGTCAACTCAGTAGAAAGCATAGTTAGTTTGCTATGAACAGAACCGGAATAAATTCCTTTTTGCTTAAAAGTCGCCGACGAAGTAGACAGGGCAACAACTGGATGACCCTTAAAAACGGCATTGGGACAGAAGTTACAAAACGAAGGACCTGGTGCTCTGCCTAACATGAGGCTTTACCATCACTGTTTGGATGGGTTGAACATGAGATTTTCTGTTTTTTAGACTGTTGCGTGGTCTTTCCTCCCTCTCCCTCTTACCCAAGTCACACATGAAACCCAGTGGATGATTAAATGTTAGTCTTCCATCGAAAAGCATTTCTGAAATTTCTTTTTCATTGGCCACTGATTCATCTGAAGCACTGAACATTCAGTCAGGGATCACGCCATTTCAGAAGGGGTCCCGAAAATGCACTATACTACAGTCATCTCTCTGCCAGTTGCAATAAAACAGAACAAAAAAGAGGACTTTTAACATGACCTTCAGCAAATGGTGTTTTCCGTGGTTATCAAAGTTATTTTTGGTTTCATCTCATTTGTACGGTGTTGGCATTTGTAAAGGACTGCAGATTCGTCATTGCTTATGGATCTCGTGGATAAAATCGATGATCATCGTATTTATAGACTTCAGTGGAAATTTAGCCGTGGTCCGGGGTTCTTCGCATAGTGTTACAGAATTGATCTGTCTGCACACTGTAGAGTTGGCGGCGGATCCAGACTATTGTTCATTTATGCATCCGGAGGTCTGTTTTTTGTCTTTCCGCCAATTATCGTTGGGTATTGTATAATGCTCCGAATGTAAGAAGCCCAGCAGTCCGGAGTTTTGGATTTCCCTGAGGACAGCGTTGGCACATCTGAGCTTAGCGGCAGTGAACTGTTGGGGACTGACCGCCATAATGGCCGCAAATGATTTCGTTTTTTTCTGCAGTCAGCAGATTCCTGGATTTCTGTGTCTTGCAACTCAATCAGTATTTCGAATCTCCTGAAATGGCTGCTGCAGCCCCCAACTGTGTATTAGGAAATTGTTTCTTCTCAGAACTGAACTACTTCCTTTTTTCAGATTCAACTGCGAGTCGTCAGTTAACAGGCCCATCACCTTCCATGACAGTATCGTAGGTGGAATCTCGCGGAAGTCTTCAGTGATTTCTCAGCGTATATTTTTCTCGACGTATGTATGTCCCAGTTTTTTGTTTTCCCTGAAGACAGATTCCTGCCCCAGTCCACCCTTGCCCAATGGTGCGGGGTTAGTCTTATTCGTCGTTTGTTTCCGTCGAGGTGGTAACTTGGAGAGGCAAAATGGATTCTACTATGATGATTTTGTTTTGCGTGTAGTTCTTCAGCAGGAGGCATCAGTTTTATTTATCCGTCGTCTAAATAACGATCGACCGCTCCCATGAGGGTGACGCCATCTGTTTCTAATGCAAGACTCCGTCCGTTACATCCGTTTCCTCCGGAAATTAGTTGTTAGCGGACGCCTGCAAATTTATCAGTACAATACTGTATTTTCGAAGGTCTTCCAGTTTTTCTTTAGAAACAGCTCGGAATGCTAAACACTGTAGCCTATCTGTGCCTATTCGTGCGCAGAAAACGTAAATGATGAGTTTGTTCGTCTTCCGCATAGATACCTGAAGCCTGAAGAGATTTCAGATCTTTACAGACTTTATAATTCAGGTCGCCATAGCTGCTTATTGTCCGGATGTCAGTCCAAATAATTGTAGCAAAATTGTCCCTGCAAACGTATTGTCTTACTGCGACAACCCGGCGTTTATTTCTTCTGGCTCAACTGGAAGCGTCCTTACGAGGTCGTTCGTCATGGCGAAAGCGAATCTTGAATCAAGCTTTACTATTTTCGAAGAAGGTTCATTCTCTTCTTACCCTATTTACTTATTATTGCCCCAAAACGAATTTGTCTGAGGACACGGGTGTACGCCTAGTTCGAGTTGAGTTCGCGGACGATCAGAGTTGCCATCTTTCCTGATAGGATGACTGGTGTTTGGTCTAAAAGCGAACGTACATTTTAGGCTGCTGCTTCACAAAGACATTCTGGTGGAAAGGATTGGAAGGGGATGCTATTCGTGTTTGTATTGCTTATACGGTGGATTGACCCCGGCAGCTAAAATCAACTGATCGGCAGGTGGAAAACAAATAGCGTTTAGAGCAACCATTCTAACTCCTTCCTGCTGCGGGAGCAAGTTTTGCTTCCCTCAAATAAAACGGCTTAGGCACCTAGACGCTCGCCAGATTTCATTGCTGCTTCTAGACTTCCGGTGAATTAGTCCTCCAAAGTTGTCTGGAGTATGCGAAAACTGTACTCTGGTTGCTGAGGTGAACGGGATGGACTGTGGTCTGAAAGACAATGACGCCAATGTGTCAGATCTAAACAAGATGGCTGCTGTATACCACGTCAGACACTGCAAACGATTCCGTCCCCAGTCAACTTGGTTTGGGCTTAACACGGGATTACGATGAGAATATAATGGGAGAGTAAGGCTGGTCCTGTGCGACTATTCCCCTGCAGAGTAACCTGCCTTGAAATATTGCCAACCGACAAGTTAACACAAACTGGTGTCACGTCGAGATGTTCACTGCGGATGCCTCTGCGACAGCTCAATTGTCCGTGACGCGTGCCACCATGCCATCCCGGAGCCGACACACCATCTGAGCTAATCGCTCTGGACAGCCGAATTTCTGCATGATATTCCACAGTCCATCACGATTCGCCGTGCCGAAGGCTTTCGTCAGATCCACCTTAGTCAGCCGTTGTTGCACAAGGTGGCGTTTACTGTAGAAGACTGCTTTGGTGTCGTCGGTGGGGCGGGTGATGTAGGCTTTGTGCAGGCGACTCTTCTCGGCGAACAGGTTGCTGATGTCGACGTCATTGTCGTCGATCCAGTCCTGATGTTGGCGTCATGTGTGACCGAGGACAGCCAGGGCCGTCGACTGGACTATGTCCCGAGGTTGAAATCACTGGTTCTCCGCGGAGACGTCCTCGTCAGCGGCGCGGCGACTGAAAGCATGACTAGCCGGTGAGCTAGTCCTTTGCTGAAATGGAGCTGATGAGCAGACAAGGACAGCAAGGCAATATTCAGCATACCTGGGATTAGCTTACCTTGTGATTTTCCGCGAGGCTGTAGGCAACTCCGCATCTGTGAGATGGCGAGACGACGATCGATCCACCCGTCGGCACCCGGAATCGCCTTTGTCACCAGCACGTCCCGCTGGTCTCACTTCTGGACGAGGACACAGTCCAGTGGGTGTCAGTGTCGCGACCGAGGATGCATCCATGTGACCTTCTCCGCATCGGGAGGCGGAAGAAGACGTTCGTTAGAATGAGCTGATGTTCGCCGTAGGTTCGTAGAAGGAGTAGGCCGTTGTCACTGAAGCCGTTGAGACCATGAGGACCTACCACTCCTCTCCAGGCAGCATGGTCTGTGCCGACGCGGGCCTTGAAGTCACCAAGGGCAATCAACGTATCTGCCTTCGATATAGTCGCCAGGAATGCGTGCAGGGCTTCTTAGAATTTGGCCTTGGTGGCGTCAGGGCTGGTCATCGGCGGAGCGTAGACCCTAATGATGGTGGCGAATTCGCCTCCCAGAAGATGCAGGCGGTGGCTCATCAGATGATCGCTGATATCCTGCGACAGACAGGGCAGTCGTCCGACGATGTCATTCCGGATGGCAAAGGCGACGCCCACGTCCCGTCGTTCTGCCTGGGTGCGACTGCTCCAGAAGAAGGTGTAGCCGGCACCCACCTCCTCCAGTTGGCCTTGTTCGGAGAATCGGGTCTCGCTGAGTGCGGCGATGTCCACCTTGTAGCGCGCCAGTTCTCGTGCCACTAGCGCCGTCCTCCGTTCCGGTCGGTTGCTCCTCGGATTGTCTAAAAGGGAACGAACATTCCAGGCTACCAGAGTAAGCGGACTAATCCTACCGGTCTGGCGAGTGGGGCGGCGTGGAGGAGGAGAAAGACAGTATGTGTTGTTTCTGATTTGGTTGTTTCTACCGTGTGTTTTGCGCCTGCGACCACGGTCATCATGCAGACGGCGTTAATCCCCAGCATTTGGGTAGAACACCCTTCCCAACCCCTTCTCTCCGGCGGGGCTGAACAGTGCTCTCTCTAAATGGGGCTGTTCAGTGGTGTCAGGCGCTGCCGAACTCCACTATGGGTCACGTCTTTGTCTAATGGGAGAACGACCCGAGGTAGCTTGGACCTGCCAACCACACTGCCGTAGGACTTGATGGAGGGGATGGGGGAAGGGTAGAGAGACGGGAATCAGAGGTTTCCCTCCTCGAAGAGAAATTGTTGCTGAAATATATAAGCCGTGCGCATGGAGATTCTAAGGTACGGCAGTTAGCATGCAACAAAATCAAACAGGAACAAGCAGACTAAATGCAGGCTGACAAGAAGAGGCAGAAACAAGACAGACGGAGGGACTTCAACGGAACGGCATTTAGCTCCCGACAAGGACAGACACAAATAAGTAAGAACAAGCAAATTAATGACGACAGAGCAATGTTAGCTTACCGAGGAGCGTCCTGCGGTGTCGCAGATGGGGTCTCGTTTCGGCGATACCGATGCGGCGATCCAACGGCCGGCGGGACCGAGTTACCATGTGCGCAGATGCATGCACATATGTCCTCACCTGGTTTAGTCGGCCGGTCGAGGCGGTTACCGGGGTGTGGCCGCTAGGCAGTGCCTAACTTCGGGGAGCCACATGTGGGAGTTGGGTGTTAATTAATGGACGCTGGGCGTAATCAACACCTGTAAGCATGTGAGCGACCTACTAAGACCGTCATTGAACCCACAACTGGACACCCCTACACCCTTTACTGGTACCCAAATTTTTATCACCCACTGGCCTTGGTTATATGCATGTCAGACTATGACAGTGAGGCTAGAGTATTAGTCTGGAGTCTCTGAATTTGCTCGCTTCACTTGTCCATACTTCCTAAGGACACTCCATCATCGCTTGGCTATACATTCACTGCATTACTGCACTGCGTTAGTCATGATCACACCTTGATGTGCCGGACTACACATACCCCTAAATCGTGTGAACCTTCTCCACACCACATGTCACATCTAATTACAACCACACCTCTTCCCGGCAGCGGGCACGTGATCCACTTCGTCGTCGCAGTTATAGCCAACACCACGTCTTATGTGGGAACATGCGCATCTAACCTAAGTATCCTGGTAAACATAGTTATCATGTCGTTTATAGCACTCGTAGTCGGGCTGCCTAGCTTTGTCTGCCAGTACGCTCGATTTTACCCCTAGCTGGTTGGCAGGCTCGGGCAGTCGGCTGGCGTATGAGTGTGAGAAGAGAGAGAGAGATCGGCACTGTGGAATCCATTCTCTATGGTAAGACAGTGCATTCCTCATGATGATAAATATAATGCGCTGGAAGTCTTGGCATGAAAGACTACCAGCTGACTGACCGACTCGGTTTTCGTAGTCAGTACTGTGTGACCGGGTGACTTAAGGTCAGGCTCAATGTCTCCTTACAGTGGCTTCTATGACACACCTTTAGATGACATCGGAGCCGCCGCCTCTTTGAAAAAACCTGGCACACTAGGCGCGGCCCGGGTCGTATGTAGCACGCGTAGACGGCTGTTTAACTTTGTCGGACACTGCGCTCGAGCCCATCTTTAGCCATCTTTGTGGGTGAAAAAGGAGAAAACGCGGTAGGCGTTGTACAAGTCTGTCTCAATATAAACTCCTATTGCATGATTTGTCATACTGACAACACAGCTACCAGCTAAAAGCCCAGACGCGTGTTTCAGCGATACTCTGCCGCTACATGACGCAGCTGCGAGGGGTTCGCTTCATCGAAATGTCCCCGGGTCCCCGTACGCTTTCTAGTAGATACTCTAGGTATGACAGATGGGCGCTCACCGATCAGGTTACGGCATATGCTTGTTCCGTTGCACCTTGGGGCTCATACTAGAACCCTCGCAGGCAGCCACGCAGCGACCAATAGCAGAATTAAATGAGATGATGACGATGATGATGATGATGATGATGATGATGATGATGATGATGATGATGATGATGATGATGATGATGATGATGATGATGATGATGATGATGATGATGATGATGATGATGATGATGATGATGATGATGATGATGCCGATAAAGACAAGGGAGACCGGCATGGCCATTTCTGGCTTATTAGCCGCCGCCAGCTAGTCATACCCAACCTCAGTTGTGGATCACTTGAGATTCGAACTCGGCATCTTTGGTCATGTTACGGCGTCTCAGTCAACCTTGTCGTGTACTCAATTAAGATCAGATATTTTGTGAATGCGGTTAGAGACACTGGGGCACAGTCGCTATTTCTGAAGCTCTCAAAACTTTGAATGCCGGTTAGTCAACTGAAATTCGGATTCTGACTGTCAGACACAAACTGTACAGATGTTCGTCTAATAGGCAAATAAGCAAACTGCGAAAGTAAACAACTTGGTCCGCGTTTTCATTCTTTCTTGGATTACTCAGTTTTTACCCTGACTGGAATTGGACCAGTGGGTATAATTCTCGCATTGGCACACTATGTAATTAAAAACGGATGGAGTATTCACTTCCCAGATTATTCTCGGCTATTGCGATGTACACGAAACAATTGCCTGCCGCAAGTCAGAGAGGAGACACAAAAGGTAGAAGGCAGAAGTCTGCACGCATCTTACCGCTCACGCTTGGTCAGCTCATTGGTTCGCCAATAAATGCTGTCTTCTGATTGGTCAGGTCCACTACAGCAAGCGCACCAATCAGCGCTCAAAAACTGGCTACTCATGTCTCAATCGATGTTCTTTTAATTGTTTCAGCAAGTTCAAGCGACCGCCGTTTTATCGGATCAAGCCACTGGGTGGGATTAGCAGTTACCTCTTCTTGCACCGCCGTTGCAGCAGGTTTTACACCGGATTATCGGTAAGTCGAGTCTAATCCTAGAGGATTTGTCATTTAACACCCCCTTGACAACAACACCGGGAACGACTAGTGGATTATCCGCTTAATTGATAAATTACAATAAAGAAGTATTCCCACTGGTCACAAAAAGTTTCTGTGAAGATTGCATCTAAGAACTGCGTTCTAGTTGTAAGGTTTATTATTTACCGCTAAACCTACTTGCTGCCACCCGGCGATCCTAGATTCTAGCGGTATTGCTTAATTAAAATTATCGGAGTCGGCCACCTTTTGCTTGTAGTCATTCCTCCGACTGTGACCGCGCGTGACTATCCAAAACTTTGTTTTCCGAGTTGCAAAACAAGAGCTCAAATGTACTCTGTAAGCCGTGAAAGACACTCGAAACTCAAACAGGGTATCATGAAATATGGAGAGACTAATGATGCGTCACCGGCGGTAAGCGCGCAGTGGGGTATCTTTTGACCGTAAGACATTGTAAAATATCCAACGATTTTAGCCAACAGAGTACTTCAACTAATCTTTGTGCAAATCTCAAAACTGGAACTCATGATTAGTTATTTGGCGAATGATGCTAACGTACTAACTTCACACCAGTAAAAGGTTACGAATTTTGGGACGAATGTATATAAAACGACCAAAGTTCTGTGCACCGATCTCAGGGAAAGTTGTGCATAGAAACCAATGATAAACTTGTTGGGTGTAACCGGCCTGGACAAAGAAGTGTCGCTCTATCACCAGATGCAAGTTCAAATGGTTTTTGTTGAATCTTCTTTCGACAACAACTTATTGGCAACTCATGATACCATCACTTGGCCCATTTTTGGTTGAAATGTTTAGAGCGAGACCTATCATTCTAACATGGCAGTCGGTCAGACTGTTTTGACTTATTTACCTCTGGGCCGTTCTGTTTGAAATACGTTTCGTTATAACTTGCTATCATCAGGATATAACGGTATGTTTACTCGCCTATCCAGACCGAACTGAGAGTAGGCTTAGTGGGTGTCAAAATTCAAGAATCATTTACCAAAATGCTAGAGGAGACCGTAATACCGGTAAGAAAGGCGCATACTCCTAAGTCCATTCATGCATAATAGTATATCGGATTGCAGTTGAGCATTTTTCAAGAAACTGCGTGAATTTCATCTGGAGAAATCAGGACTTATTGTGTGAATTTTTCTCAAAATGTGAACCCGGACGACGAATGTACTTTCGTTCCGAAATCTTTTGCCATTTCTACAGAGTGGGCAGAACAACCTACGTTTTCAGCCGTCTTCATATTTAGAAATTACAGCAGAATGTATTTGAACATGACGAAGGCAGTGAAACATGGAGGATAAAATGTCGTCATAAATTTCGCAACCGCTTACACAACTGCGAAAGCTAATAGCATGTTTACTGAACTAGCGGTTCAATAAGAAAGCAGTTTAAATAATATGCATATACTGTGGTGGAAAGTCGTCCTCGTAGGAGGTGCGTATGCGTTCTGAACGTCGAATGAATGGACTGTTGGTTCCAGAAACTATTTTCCCATCCCTTCTTCCATTAAATTACAGGGGGTCTTGTGTATTTTCTTCTACGCACTCGCAGATTCGTTGTTCGTTGCAGTTCAACCCAGGGCCGTTTCACGAAGTGGCGTAGTGACCATTAGTAATAAAGGATGAATGTTGACAAAGACAAAGAGAACGGGAATGTCTTGTTATGACCTACTAACCGTCGCTGGCCAGGTAAACCAGGACTTTGGATAATCTGGTGCGCTGACCTGGACGCTTTGTTTACGCTACAATGAATATTTTGAGAATGTTACTTTAGGAAATACAATGAAAATTTTCCAAGCGCCAGAAATTCATTGGGAAATAAAAGCCGCCTGAACAGTCCTGTTTTAAGTGCAAATTACACAGATGACGGAAAATATATTAAGCTAAAAGCTGGCAGATTGCTGTCATGAATTTCTTGATAATTAGTCTTACAGCCTCGCTTAAGCAACCTTTTCCACTTAAATGCATATTTAATGATCTTGGTCAATGTTCTGGTGAATACCGTGGGAAGATTTTTGACGTCCTTTAGTCTCCCAATTTCGCTCCAGCTCAAGACGTTATCTGGAGCCGGGGTTAAAACATTCGAACTGCTGTTTTTAATTGGACCGGGTCATTGACATAGAACGTGCGAATTCAGTTTCAGCAGTCTCCACTCTCCGCCAATTTAAAATTTCTCAACCAAATTGGTGGCTTTCGTTAATTCTAGGTATTCGAGTGATTTTTCCGTCATGATCCTGACCCACTTCGTTAACTTTCTATCCAACAGTTGCAGTGCGGTACAATAATACATTGATTAACGACCATGTAAGAGACAGTCATTTTGTGCCATAACGTGGATATGAACGAGTGCTCTAGGGTGCTTCCAATTCCTAACAAACCTCAGCCTATCTAGCTATGAAGACTGCTGAAAACCTACGCTGTCAGCTGGCATATGAAAGGGAGCAGAATCCCAATGTATGCATGAGTGTGGAAGCAAGCCTCAGCCGATGTGATTGAACGCAGGCATGCGGTGTTGACCTGTACACGCAAGAACAGCAGGACTGAGATTTTGGTCGAGTGCTTGTGACAGCCATGATGGGTAAGACAAGACTGCACTGTCATTTAGGAGTCCCTGAATACGTTAATTCTTTTGCACTCGGCCATTTTTGCC